CCGGCCCCTTCCTCCTTGGCAGACACGAGCCTCAACTTTGCCTCAACTTTGCTCACGGCTCACTGTGTCGCCCGCAGCAAGTGTGTGTTCCACTTTCTGTGCCTCAGTTTCCCCATCAGAGAGAGATAACAACCGAAAGACTCCCCCCTCGCCAGAGAGGCGGGCTCTGTGTCTCAAACCCATATTTTTATTTTGTAACTGAACTGACATCTTCCCCATGTGCAATCAGCATAACGCTGTGGATTTCTGATCTCTTAGCTCAGCCACCCAAACATCTTTTTCACAGAAACATAGACATAGGAGTCTGGTGCTGACTTCATTCCTATTGACTTTAACGGGAGTGATCAGTTGTCCGATTTTACTGTACTACATAAGAAGAGCACCTGGCTGGATTTAAATTTATTCTTCCACAGAGATTATTTTACTGCAAATATGATTAGCTATTTTAAGATAACCCCCCCAGCCAAACTTTTACTGGAGGAACTTCTGCACAAAAACATTACAAAAATCACCTCTCTAAAAGGAAAAACCACATAAAACAACATTATGAGAAACATTCACATGTTAAATGATCATTTATGCTATATCTTTAGAGTGGACAGTTTAAGTAAGGCAAAAGCGCCATCTACTGGCATATAAATCTCAGAGGGTAGTTGTGTTAGTCTATTTGAAAAACCAGCCAGGAGTCCTGAGACACCTTTACCTCTACACTACAGAGAAGATCAAAGCTGCCTCTGTCAATCTTCCAGGGTTTGAATTAGCCGGTCTAGTTACAACAGCTAATTTGAACAGAGTGGGACACTCCAGTTGATGGCAGTAGGCCTGCTTCCACGGGAGTAAAAGAAGTTGAAGGGAGAATGTTCTTCCTTCCACTTCCTGCAGTGTGGACAGCGCCAAAAGTCAAGTTAAGGTACTTCAACTGTAGCTGAAGTTGCGTATCTTAATTTGACCTCATCCTGTAGTTTACACATACCCTCAGAGACTAATAGATTTATTAGGGAATAAGCTTTTGGGAGTAAAATCCACTTCATCAGATGGAGTAGAGTTTACAGAAGCATGGGTCTATATAAGGAAGACAAAAAAGAGGGTATTTGTGTAAATGAGACTAATCAAGTCAGTCTGAAGACGAACATTTTGCATTTGTCCTTACTGAACTTCATCCTATTTACCTCAAACCATTTCTCCAGTTTATTCAGATCATTTAGAATTATAACCCTGTTCTCCTAAGCACTTGCAACCCCTCCCACCTTGGTATCATCTGCAAACTTTATAAGCATACTCTCTATGCCATCATCTAATCTTTGATGAAGACATTGAACAGAACCAGTCCCAAAACTGATCCCCTGCAGAACCTCTTTCAGCATGAACCACTGATAATTACCCAGAACAGTTATCCAACTAGTTATGCACCCACCTTCTAGTAGCC